GGAGTTGGGGGTGGTGGTGGAGGTACTGGTGGGGGAGGAGCTAAAGGTGCCGCTGGGGGAGGTGGGGGTACGGGCGGAGCAACAGGTTTGGGTGGGGGAGGTGGTGCTGGTGGGGGAGAAAATGAAAGTGGAAGAGAAGGTGGGGACGGGGGAGGTGGGGGACTTGTTGATGCTGAACCAGGTTGTTGTGAAAACTGGGTAGGCGGAGATTTAGTAGAAGGCTGTGATGTGGGTTCCAAGGCTGTTATGTGTAATGGGAAATACGAGGAAGGCGGTGGAGAAATTGGTGATGGATTCGTGGGGGAGATATCGTTCACCGGGGGTTTAGCTGATTGGGAAGACGTGGTTGGTGGTGGAATCAATGAAGGTGAAGAGGGAGATTGATTTGCCGTTGATGGTAATTTCATCGCTGCTGGGAAAGGATTTGAAGATGGAGAACCAATCGAAATGACGGAATCTTCTGGATTGATCTTCACTTGGTCGTTCAATGCTGCAAGATATGAGCAAAGATTTACATCCAAGAACTGACTATGTTTTCGATCAACTTTCCCGGACATGTTTTAAGAGCCTCCCTATTTAATGCATAACAATTTCATGACACAAAACCGCGTCCAACTGTAAGCTATAATTAGCAAATTACCTACACAATTACAGATTTGTGAACAATTTGTAACAAGGTTGTTGTGAAGCCGATATCAGGATGTGTTCGTACTGCTTGTTCCCAGTTGTTGTGACAAGTCTGGAACAAGTTGTTATCACCTTGTTACAAGGTTGATGACGGTAACAGACTTGTTACAGGTTGTTCCAACAAGACTAATACAGGCTGTTCGTAACAAGTTGCTACGAGCTTGTTGTCATCAACTTGTTACGTGACAGATATCAGACTTGTTGGAACAACTTGTTGCGAGTCTGTTGGCCTCATCAACCTTGTTACAAGATGATAACAACTTGTTCCAGACTTGTCAACAACTGGGAACAAGCAATGCGAACACATCTTGTTGAAAAGCTGTAAGATTTTTACAATGTATAATTAGTGCATGATACCTTGATCGCTGGAAATTTTGTCGCTTCCCACAGATACATCAGATAACGAAGGGTTCAGAGTCGACAAATTTTTTGGAAGAACAATTTCAGTGAATCCCGACAACTTTGCAATCTGTTTGGTATTCGAGCCATTGGGGGTTGTCGGAATTCCAGAAATATTTCCAAACGTCTGGGATTGTGCTTGAGTGATTTTCTGTATTTTACAAAAAGTGATGGGTATTCCCGACTTCCGGCATAATTCTTGGATTCCGGAGATGGTCGCGTTGACGTCGGAAATGAACGTCGTATTTGCTAACGATATCTTGCTAGTTGCTTTGTCCCCGACATAATGTATTGCCATCGTGTTGTTTAACTCCACGATGAACTGTGTCGCATTGCGTGAATTGTTTGTTTTCTTTGTGAGAAGTTTGTTCAAGAGTTTAAGCGGTAACGGTTGTTTACAACATGCCGCTGGTGGTTTGATGTTGTTGCCAGCGTGGGACTTCAACGCATCTGTAATGAAATTAATGAATGCACGTTTAAAGGGATATGGAAATATAAATTAAGTTGATTTTTTCTGTGTTGGTGTAATGCACTCAGGTGAATAAGATGTTTGTGTGATGTTACTCTGAGTGTATATCCACACCGGGCAGGCTTGAAAAATATGCCTGGCCATGGTGGGAATCGAACCTGACCTGACTGCTTGGGCTAGTATTCCAAAGGTCGTAGGTTCGATTCCCACCGTGGCCAGGCATATTTTTTCAAGCTCGCCCGGTGTGGATATACACTCAGAGTAACATCACAAACATCATAAATCAAGTTTGTCTTATTTGAAAGAACATTTAAAATAATATATAAACTTCCTTTACAATTATTCCGTATCTTGCTTGGTTTTCGAAATAAATCGACTTGTTTTGCTCAAAAGCAGCGAGCATTCCGCCATCTTGGATATACATTCGATATACATACGTCACAAGTAGGGTAAAAAGCGAAATTTTTATCTTGCAAACCACATGTCATTATCAATACGAACCTCGATTTTCCGAAGTCTTTTTAGTACTCAATTAACTCGCAACATTTTAAGAATCTTTTCCAAGAAATTTAGTCCCACATGAAGAAGTTTTAACAGGTTTACTCTGCTTATGACGTCATCAAAATCTCAGTTAATTAGGTCAATTATAATACCAAGATGGCAGTCAAAATATTTCGAAAATCAAGCAAGGTACAAAAAGGTTGTAAAGGGTCTTCATATATAACTTTAAAAGTTCTTTCAAATATGGCAAAATTAATTTTTATTGCATATCCCTTTAAACTGTTCAACTAATCTATCTAATTCCACGCAAGAATATTACAAGAGTTTGACCACATTATTTTATAAAGATATATCTAGCGGCAACTACTTATACAGTAAATCCAGAAATTAAGGCAAATAATCTTACAACAAACTAAATATTTATCATTTGTTTCAATTTGAAAACCGTCAAGTATGCAACTAAGGATGAACGGTCGCAGATAAAACATTATACAATTACTTTATGGTTTCCGTGTTTGGATGGCCTGATCCAAACACGCGGGAATGTTGCGAGAGTTAAGAAAAGCGCGCGAAACACGAGCCGAAGGCGAGTGATTTTGCGCGCTTTTCTTAACTCGAGCAACATTCTCAAGTGTTTGGATCAGGCCATCCAAACACAGAAACCATAAAGTAATTGTTTTATAAAATAACAACTTTGCGTGTTAATATTTCACTTTAAAAAACTTTCACTTTAAATTTCCGTGTTTGGATGGCCTGATCCAAACACGGGTTTCGACCAATCAGAGCACGCGTTACATACATGTTATTTTATAATGTCTATTCTCATGACAAAGTTCAATGTTTTTTTAAGACCGACAAAGTTCAATGTTTGCGACGACATTTGATGGTTTCAATTCGCTCAGTCAATCAGCTTGGAGCTGGTTGAACGTGATTGGCTGATCAGATTAAAACCTGTCAAGTGTTCTTGACAAAGATTGAATTCTCACGTGAATAGGCAATGTTTTTTATGAGTGACTGTTCATCCTTAGTTGCAAGCGACGGTAATTTCATTACAGTTGATCATGATCACGTGATATTAAATAAAAATTCACGTTTTATACCGAGAGTGCAATGTACCAAAATTCTGTTCAAATACTCAATTATAAAAAAGTGAAATCTTACCTTGGACACTACAGCCATAAATTTCAATCCTCAAGCATATTTGAAGAGCATTCCAGGATAACGGATGAATTCTGAGAAATCTCGCCACGATTGGTCGATCCAATATCCTGATGACCTCAGTCGCTTTGTCGTCTGCCCCAAGGAAGATTTCCTTTATCAACAAATATATCAAGAATATTAGAAGACTCGATAGTGTAAGATCGAAAAACCCCACCCTCAAAACACCGAGCTAGCCTAATTAATTAAACAATTCCCATTATAGACTAATTTTGAAACTAGGCAAGGAGATGTAAATAAATCACCACAGCTAGAAAGAGCATACTAAAATAAGTAAAACTGCAAAGTTTAGTTGCGAAGTGTTGTAAAATGCGGAAAATATAGCCTTGCAACGTTTGCAAATTTTGTATACTTTTGTATTGCGTGCGGAAATTCCTACCACATTTGGGCCGAAAATGGCAGCAATTTCCGAGCGCAATACAAAAGTATACAAAATTTGCAAACTTTGCAAGGCTATATTTTCCGCATTTTACAACATTTCGCAACCAAACTTTGCAATTTTACTAATTTTAGTATGCTCTTTCTAGCTGTGGTGATTTATTTGCACCTCCTTGCCTAGTTTCAAAATTAGTCTATCATTTCGATGTTACCTTTTCTTGCGGGAAATCTTTTCTGGTGTAAGGTATCCATGTTACTCCATCAAGACCGTACGTGACTCTGAAGCTGGTGACCCAATTGTTACCCAATACCTGACCTTGTATTCCAAGACCTCATTTGAAAGGAAAGAAAATTTTCTAATTATACTTTTAAAAGTTTTATCGAATGATTTCGTATCAATAAATATATTGATACAATATCATTAAATATCAATATCATTAAATATCAAAGTTTTGTCCGTTAAACGTAAATTGGGAAAGTTTTTTGACCGATCAAAGTCCTTGTGTAGGAATAGATAGTGTTTTTTTCCAACGTGTTTCTCCTTAGATGCAAACAACGGTAGCTTGGTTTTGTACATTTCATTTCCGGTGAATGAACACTGAAAAATGCACCCGATGGCATTTCGTTTTGTATATTTCATTTCCGGTGAATGAACACGGATGCACACCGATTACACTTTGTTTTGTACATTTCATTTCAGTGAATACACACCCAATATGAATGAAACGCGATACATTTTGAGAAAATAGTTAATGGGAAAAAGTAAATAAAACGTTCTTTGATATAATAATATACTGTAAAATCAAATGCAAAGCATTTTCTCATCAGAAAAAATGAAAGTCTTCCAGTAGACCCAGTTGGGAAAGCCCCTTAGCTACTTCAATTGGGAAGAGTCCGTCAAACGGACAGTATATGGGCTAGCTAACACCCAGAATATATCAAGAAATATATATAAATATTTAAAAACTCATTAACAATTCATAAATAAAAGACAAAGGGAATCATGTAAACTTTATGGCTTTGATTTTCACGACTTAGACAACGTTTATTTTGAAAATTACTTCGCCAATAAACTCATACGATGGTTCGTTTTTTAAGCCATTTAAAACACGCGCAATCGGTGTTTTATCAGATATAAAAGTCTCGGCTCTCGTCACGAGTTTTATATCTCATGAAGGGTTTGTAATCCAAGTGAGTATATATACATTTTAAGACCTAACCAGGAACGACTGCGAAAAATGCAGCACAAGGTCCTCTGGTAGGAATTGAACCTACGGCCCTGCGATTCCAGTGCAGAATCCAAATCATTGAAGTCCACCATATCTCATAAAGTACTCCTCCTACCCGTGTTTTAAACACTACATAATATACATATAAATATATAATATACATCAATAAAAATATCAATTGCCATATTATGAAATGAAATTACCTGTGACAGTCATACTCCGACGTAAATCAACTTGTAAATACTGCGCTGTGTCAGATTTGCGAGCACACCAACAACCATGTGATGCTGTTTTGCCACTACTCGCTTTCAAAACACGACCGTAGTATGGTCTCATGTTGTCATCCAGACTGCTTGATGCTGTTAACGCGTCATCAGGGATTAAACCATTTGCTACCCCCAGAGGCTCGAAACAAACTAGAATAAAACAAATATTACTTTCGTTTAAAGTTGCAGTTTGGTGATTCATGATATCTAGTTGATGCCGCGGGTTTGGTGCATATAGATATCTTATATACACTAGATAGCGCATCTCTTTTAGTAAAATTGAAGCCAAGAATATTCCAGCGGTTACCCCCATTTGAATAGATGGCGGCCATGTTGGTGTTTCCCACTCGCTAATAAACGCTTAAAAAACAACAATAACTTTCATCATTTGAATAGTTTAAAAATGTATTTGGAATAGGTTTAACTTAATATTTAAGTTCGCTGTTTAAGAAATAGAAAACATACGAATCTTCTCATTTCATGGGAATATCCTGAGTCTGCAATCACGGCTTCCATTTTTGAATTGTAGAATAATTAGATGCACTATCTAGTGTATATAAGATATCTAGGGTTATTTACAAGGGCAATTTTTAAGTTTTTTAGATACGTATTCGTCAAGAAAACTATACTTTTCTGAAAACTCATTATGTGATGTGATGTCACACCGGTGATATTTGTATATGAAACAAAGTTGAATATCTTGCAAAGGAAGCAAGTTACCAAAATTCTATAAAAGAAATTATTAAGTCATTTTAACTGATCTTTACAATGCAACGATAAACCTTTGGGCTGAAATTTCGTGTCATAAGCACTTTAAGGTTAGTCGGACTTTAATGAATGTTCTGGCTAGTTTAGCCAATGCTATATGCTTGAATTAACCAGATTATGTCAGATGGACAATTATTAATCTACCTCACATAATCTCGTTAATTCAACTATGTCATGGCTGAACAGTTATTGTAGGTGGTTATACGATCAGTTTCAATCGTCGAGGTAATCATTTGAAATCTTCCCCAGAACAGAGAAAATGCTAGTTCAGAGACTCTAGACTCCCTAGAATTCTCTGTAGTTAAAAACCAGTCAAGTATAGTTGACAGATTTTGCAAATACACTTTGTATGTATACACTAGCGTGTACTTCCACGCGTGTGTAACGCGTGTACACTTTGACTTACCAGGACAGGATGGTTTTGTACATGGTACTCTGTCTAACAGATGATCACTGTTTGCAGGACATAAGATTCCTCTGGTACAGAGACGTTTTCGTCGCTTTGTGCCTTTACCACAGCCAACACTGCATGTACCATAGCTCACTAGTTGTCTCACGTCGTTGTTCGTCTCACTTCGCTGTTTCGCTTCGGAATCAATGGTATTGCCCAATAATCCTGGAAGGAAAAATTCAGTTGAGAATATATTACACCAGTTTTCAACGTTAGGCCTATTTCAAACGTGTACGAAACAACTAAAATCCTTCAAATTAAACAAGTTATCAAGTAAAACGCTTTAAAATCTGGCTTGTCAACTCTCATGCAACTCTTGTTCTCGTCTGATCAAGCAATGAAAGTTGAAAAACTCTCGCTTGTCAACTCTCATGCAACTCTTGTTCTCGTTTGATCAAAAAATGAAAGTTGAAAAAACTCTCATGTAAACTCTCGCTTCTCAACTCTCATGCAACTCTTGTTCTCGTTTGATCAAGTAACGAAAGTTGAGAAAACACTCATGTAAACTCTCGCTTCTCAACTTTCATGCAACTCTTGTTCTCGTTCGATCAAGCAATGAAAGTTGAGAAAACTCTCATGCAAACTATCGATTCTCATGCAACTCTCATTCAAGTAATTATAATTTCCATACCTCTTCTACAGCCGTAGACTTCAGCCCTCATACAAATATGGTTTCCGTACCAAGATTGCGGATAAAACCTCAAATATCGCGTGTCAACAGGCTGATCTAACCACTGGATACGAACAGAGTCTTTGTCATCATTGCCTAAAAACGTCTGTGAAAGAAACCACGCAAGAAATTAAAGACCATCACAGAAGATCAAGTTTTCCTTGAGAAGTTTTCCTTGTCAAGTTTATTTCAGAACCATCCTCAGAGATACGAAAAACAAGTTTCATATTATTCTGACACTGCAATCGAGCAACGAAAAATTCGTTGGCTCGAGCGGGATTTGAACTCGCATCTTCGGGTATCTAGACCGCCGCTCTACCCATTGAGCTATCGAGTCAACGGGGATTGGTAGTGAGTCTTATCCAATTTAAGCGCATGAAATATTTTCGTGACGACTTAACGCTTGTCACGACACGAAAATATTTCGTATAATATGAAACGTTTTCAGAATAATATGAAACTTGGCAAGTTTAGTTTCTTGTATACGGTACCCCCACAGCCGGCTGTCGCTACGACCCTAGAATCCAACTTACTTTTTCACCGCCAGCCTCCTGAACACATTCAAATTCTTTTCCATCATTACTGTAACAGAGTCTGAAACTTGTGACAAAATTATCAAAGAGGGACAATCCCTGAACCGCGACGCCCGACAACGTCGTGTCTTGACCAAAATCTACCTGGAGGTAGGGGTCTTTATCCCCGGCAGTTGCACACCAGGCACTACGAGATGGATCCCCGTGAAACGAGAGAAGATTAAGACGGCCATAATATGGTTTGTGTAGACCAAACATTGAACTCGACGTCAATTGAGCGTTGTCTATTTTCATGCTTTCCATTCCAAGAGGAAAATAACATTCTAAAGAAAATAATACACACTTGTGATTTCCCGAGAGTCTCATGCGTGACGACTATCTCAGCCACCAGATACTCCCGTGTGAGTCAGGCTTTAACCCAGGGTTACCATTAAAGTCCAAGGGATAGTTGTTCAAAGCTGGGTTAGCTCAACCTTAGGTTAACCTAAAATTGAAAGCAAATTTCCTGACAGCTTGTCTATAAATTTGGAAATATTTCTTCAGAGATCTTGTCTGGATCGATAGGAGTTTACTTATCTGAAGTTTTGAAATAAACAGACGTGCAGAAATACACAAACTAAAACAACAGGTTAAATTTTAACCCAGGGTTAGCGCTAACCCACCTTTGAACAACCGGCCGCTGGTCGCTGAGGAAAGCAAAGCTGAAAACATTTACAACTTACCTTTTTCAAATATACATTGATCCATCAATCTAGTCACTTCTTTCTCGTTCAGCGCGGTATCTGCCATGTAGAACTCGTCAACTTTGCCTCGAGATCCACGCTCGCTATTCCCAATACTTGCTCGTCCTTCCCAATCTTGCGATAACACTCCATCACCTTGAAAAATACGAACAAAGTTTTGGCTTTATTCAAAGTATTTGGCGTGTTGTTTCTATAGACTTTGGGTCATCATCTACCTACACTATACAGGCTCGTGGTTGGTTGATTATAACAATGAAAGACAATAAAACTATAGAAATCGTCTTTCTAAAGAACGAGTCACGAACAATGATCATTTTTGTTTCTGAAAGCCGATCACAAAACATGAGCATTTTAGGTAGGTCTTTACCCGAGACTTTCTATAATGACTACTCTCCAAGTATTGTTTATTGTGTGTGTAAAAACTCTACTCTGTGAATTGTTTATGTACTATTGTGGTAATTGGCAATAGCTGTTTTGGTTTACCAACCAGTCTCTGTATACATATGATGTTGGCAAAGTTAATAAATAAATAAATATCTAGACAGAGGTCAACTCGAAACCGTAATGTACATATACTCTGAGTACTGTGTACGATTACTTATTATACACGACTTGCATGTATATTTCAAAAATGCATTAATAATTCATGAGGAAAACACAAAGAAAAATCATAAGCGTGTCGTATCTTTATATGTAATAGAGATTTCCCTTGATTTACATAAACTTTAACTTTGATTTTCTCGACGTACACAACGTATTTTTTGAAAATTACTTTGCCAATGAACTTACCAGATCGATCGTTTTTTGAAGCAATTTGAAACATTCGCAGTGCGTGTTTTATCCGACCTAAAAATACTCGGCTTCGCCTCATATCTTTATATCTGATAAAACACTGCTGCTCATCCTTTAAATAGTACATAAAATACAACATAATTTTTTCTTATTATTGTTTATCAATTTATTTAAAAATCTTCGTTTAGAAAGCTATTTATAGCCTTACAGCTACATACAGCCAATATATCATCATGGATAATAAAATAAATGGATAGGACTCTAGCTGACGTAAGCAAAGACAACCTAGTTGCAATCTGTGACGTCACGCGTATTGCAAAGTTCTCCATGGCATTTTTGTTGTTTCGCTATATTTTCCGCTTTAAAAGAGTAATATTGAAGCATAAACTGGTCTAATTGTTTTAAAAACATGCCTAAGCCACGACAAAGTATTCAAGGTAAATGTTTTTCGTCTTTGTTTTGTATTTTTTTACATTTGTAGCTACGAAATTGGCGTCTCCAATTTTAACGAAATTTGGGATGCCTTTTTCACTGTTTTATAGTGCTTGAAATATTCGCTAAAATTGACTGGTAATACTTAGAGATTTCATCGTAGAATGGCGTAGTTATATTCATTTGCTCTTTGACTAAAATGTTTAGCTGTATTAATGCTAAACATGCCGTTTTTGAGAATTTGGTTTGCAACTAGGTTTCAACATCCAATCACGCCATCAGCCCATTGAAAACATTAGGTCACGTCAGCTAGTTTCCTATCCATGATATCATAGATAATGAAGGCGCGGAAATTGGAACCAGTAAAGTCCCGCTGAAGAAATTAAGCTTGTCAAAACAACAAGTATTAAATTGTACCTTTCCCTGTAGCATCTTGCTTTCCATTCACGAACACAGCACTGCGTTTTAACTGCGAGTCGTACGTACAAGCCACGTGATTCCACACGCGTGGTTTTAACGACTGGTGACTAGCTAAGCGAAACACCAACCTCCCAGCCTCGTTCCGATGCAAACACAAGAATTTCCCATTTTCAATTGTGACATCGTACTGTTCAGATTTGTATTTTGAACTCGCTCCGCCGACGGTGTTAAACAACGACGTATTCCCATATTCATGTGCAATGTTGATCCAACTCGATATTGTTATTGCAATGTTTGGTTTCTCTTTGAAAGTATCGCCAGAAATGAGCAAAGCCCCACCGTTCAATTCTAAACCTTTGCCACAGGTTTCGCTAAAACTCGGGGTCGATGCCGGGGCTATCAGCTTGCCTACATTTGTATTGCTTGAATCGTCATGGATGACGTCATTTCGATCGTCCTCAAACCGGAAATAAACGACAGCATGGGACAGCACTAGATAATGGAGAAATAGTGTTACTATTTTAGCTACAGTATACACGTGGAAACGCACAAGTTGTTACAAATCTGTTTACAAGCTGTCGACGAGCTGTTCACAACTTGTAACAAGCTTGATGGCATTATCAGAATTGTTACAAGGTTGTTCCAACAAGTCTGATACAATTGTTTTTGTTTGTGGAAACACCACGTAAATTTATTACTGCAAAGCTTTCGATCCGTAAGCCCGGATCTTCATCAGTGCTAATAATATGCATGGGCTTATATATATCCGGGCTTACGGATCGAAAGCTTTGCAGTAATAAATTTACGTGATGTTTCCACAAACAAAAACAATTATATTTTATCGCCATGCAAACATTCAAAGAACTTAAGTCTGATACAGTCATGATATAATAAGAATGTTACAAGGTTGTTCTAACAAGTCTGATACAGTCATGATATAACAAGAATGTTACAAGGTTGTTCTAACAAGTTTGATACAGTCCTGATATAACAAGAATATCACAAGGTTGTTCCAACAAGTCTGATACAGTCATGATATAATAAGAATGTTACAAGGTTGTTCTAACAAGTCTGATACAGTCATGATATAACAAGAATGTTACAAGGTTGTTCTAACAAGTCTGATACAGTCACGATATAACAAAAATGTTACAAGGTTGTTCTAACAAATGTAATACAGTCATGATATAACAAGAATGTTACAAGGTTGACGACACAAGGTTGTAACAATATTGTTACTGTATATCATGACTGTATCGGACTTGTTGGAACAACCTTGCAAAAACCGTTATTTCTATGTCGCTTCTTCGCTTACCCTGTTGAAGTAAAGCGTCGGGATCGCCTGATCCTAGATAGAAAGAGAGTATTGTTACTGTGTAGTACTTGCAAATGACGAACAGGGCTGGAATCGTGACTTACTAAAAATGAATGGCCAAGCATAACGTCTGCATAAACGCCATATGGACATGAATTTATTCACGAACTTTGTAATTATCACACTAGATTTTTTACGATGAAGACGAAACGGTAATATGTATATTTTAACTGTCTACATCAGGCCTCGAATTTCCCTGAAATCAATTGACGGCAATGGCATTAAAAATTGCCGTAGAACGTAACAGCTGTCTACGGCAATTTTGGCAGTTTCCACGACATTTTTTCAAATTAATAAAAATTTAAGTTTATTGTTACTTTGGATTGTTGACTAGAAATATGTTTACGTATTTCTTTAGTGTTTTTTTTTCGAAGAAAACTGAGACTAAAATAGTAATTTACGCATGATTTGATCAACATCTGAATTCAAGTGTCAAAGTAGTAATGCACAGTGAATAGTATAAAAATTACACTATACATACGGCAAACAATTGCCGTCGTTGCCGCAATAATCCACGGCATTTTGTTATCCCTCTACGACAATTGCCGCGATACAATTCAAGCCCTGGTCTACATTCATGTCTATATGGCGTTCATGCATACATCATGCGTGACTACGAGTTTCCTATCCAGCGTTATCATCCATTGGTAGAGCACAGTTGACAGCAAATGTATGGCATACAAACCTAACATATTTCTGCTGCCAGTTTTATCTGGAAAGTGAAAGAAAAAAGACAAAAATCCCTCATCAAATGAAACTTACAAAATAGATTTTAGGTTTGGCATAAAAATTGATAATTCATAAGAAAAGTTAAAATTCGCTCGGGTGGTAGTGGTCTAGAACTACAGATGTAAAAATCTCATAACTTGTCAACAAGATGCGTTCGCAACAGGCTTGTAGCAAGCTTATCAACAAGTTGTAACAATGCTGTTATTTCATCAAGTTGCTACAAGATTGTCACTTACAACTTGTTGACAAATTGTTGAATTGCAGGATGAGAACAATGAGTCTGTTGAGCTCAACAACCTTGTAGCAAGTTATAAACTTGTCAACAAGCTGGGAACAAGCAGTACAAACGCATCCTGTTGACAAGTTGTTGGAACAGATTGCTACAAGTCTGTTGCAGTTTTGTTACAACTTGTGCATTTTTACATTAAGATTATTTTCATTACAAGTCCCCAAGAAGTATAGAACTTCTCGATACCTGTTTTACAGCCGTATAACTCCAGTCTCAGGCAATTGGTCGAGCCATGCCATGCTTGGGGCACAATGCGGACATAACGTGACGTCACAGGTGTATCTAACCAATGGGTAATTATACCAGTACGGTCGATGTTACCACTGAATGTCTGAAGAGAAATATGGGAAGCAAATTTTGTTTATAGATCAATAATATACATGAAAGAATTACTACATGCTGACTATAGCTAAGCACAGTACAAATTGCACACTTTCGCAAAGTCTTTCGTCTTTCTTTCTAATGGACCTATTCCCTAATGAACAAAATTTTGGTCTAGACAAGTCTAGACAAAAATTTCACCACAGCTTGAAAGAGCATCACAAAATTAGTAATATTCCGAAGTTTCGTTGCGAAATGTTGTAAAATGTGGATAATATAGCCCTGCGAAGTTTGCCGTTTGTCAGTCATTTTGTATTACGCGCGGGAAATTGATACCGCTTTCTGAAAAAAGGTATCAATTTACAATGCGTAATACAAAATGACTGAAAAACGGCAAACTTCGCAAGGCTATATTATCCGCATTTTACAACATTTCGCAACAAAACTACGGAATATTACTAATTTTGTGATGCTCTTTCAAGCTGTGATAAAATTTTGTTCATTTAGGGAATAGGTCGATTAGCAACACAAACAAAGGAATTTTCGAAGAAGCAATGTTTTTCGAAATTGTACGAGAAACCACATTATTACTTACTGAGAATATATAATCAATTAATAAACAATTTATTCACTCATTTGAATGATACAACAACTTAATACAAGACTTCAACTGTCAAAAGTTAAAACTTTATTCATTTTGCTTAGTACGTTTCCAGTGCAATTTGGAAAAACATTCACGAGTGAATCGCGAAGTGTTTTCAGACCAGCTACAAAGAGCTTATTGCCGTGGGCTTATTGGGGATGAAATTGTTAATTATGTTTCTTTTCAATCTTTTACTATTAGACTTAAAAGTTTATTTGCCTGAATTGTAATCATCAATATTATCCATACGTCGAATACGCTAACTATTGCATTATGTTTAATGTTTAGTGTTGCCATGTTGCTTTTGCTTATTTATATAACTTTCTGTGTAATTCATTGCTTAGAGGAAATCCATGATTTCATTTGGTTTTAGGTTTCTTTTTGATTCCCTCGCCATATGTAATTCTATTATTCATTTATTTGTGTGTATTTGTCACAGATATCTTATATACACTAGATAGCGCATCTCTTTTAGTAAAATTGAAGCCAAAAATATTCCAGCGGTTACCCCCATTTGAATAGATGGCGGCCATGTTGGTCGTTCCCACTCGCTAATAAACGCTTAAAAAACAACAATAACTTTCATCATTTGAATAGTTTAAAAACGTATTTGGAATAGAGTTAACTTAATGTTTAAGTTCCCTGTTTAAGAATATCCTGAGACTGCAATCACGGCTTCAATTTTTGAATTGCAGAATAATTAAATGCACTATCTAGTGTATATAAGATATATGTTTGTAAAAGGTAAAATGGTAAATTATTAAATTCAAATTCAAACGTATTTTAGATTATACAGGCATGTATAGGTCATGGGGAAATATCAAGATTTTTTTGCACTTGATTGAATAATATACTTGAAGGTTCTTGTAGCTTACCTTAATCGTCCCATTCACTTTATAAGGTTCCCATTTGGTATTGTTGTTACTGAATTGCAATATGTACTGTGTTACCCAGTTATCAAGTAATGATGCCCCCTGTGTAGCCACGCCTGTAAAGAAAGAATAAAAATATGACATAGAGCTTACAGCCTAACTACCCGTGCAGGGCTCAAAGTAGAGAAAAAATATGGCCTGCCAGTCTAAAATTTTTTGGCAGGTGAAATAAATTTTAGTCTGCCGAATCTGCATGTTCGCCATTCTGTTACGTTTTACCATGGATAATAAAATACATGGATAGGAAACTAGCTGACATGACCTAATGTTTTCAATGGGATGATGGCGTTGAAACCTAGTTGCAAACCAAATTCTCAAAAACGGCATGTTTAGCAATAATACAGCTAAACATTTTAGTCAAAGAGCAAATAAATATAACTAGGCCATTCTACGATGAAATCTCTAAGTACTCCCGGTCATTCAAGCACTAAACAGTGAAAAATGCATCGCAAATTTCGTAACAATTGGCGACGCGAATTTCGTAGCTACAAATGTAAAAAAATACAAAACAAAGACGAAAAACATTTGCCTTGAATACTTTGTTGTGGCTTAGGTATAGCGAAACAACAAAAATGCTGAGAACTTTGGCAATACGCGTGACGTCACAGATTGCAACTGGGTTTAGACTGTGACGTCAGGAAGTTTCCTATCCAGTTATTTTACAATCCATGGCTTTACATTATATTTCGGGATAAAGTTTATATCGGCTTTTTATCACGTATGCGTGACTGGACAGTGGCTGTAGCACAGTACAGAAAATTTACTTGTTAAAGTACAGTATATTTGAAAATATCGCTTTATAACAACCTTTTTACATACTTAACTAAAGCATTCTGAGTATTTTCTCGTGAGCTCACAAATCAATTAAATCATTTCAAAAAATCGACACGCGCTAACAGTAGAAGTTCCGCTAATCGCTATTCGAAAAGCAGTTGCTGGACTTCTCTAGGAGGGTGCTAGACACCATTAGGTAGGGTCTGTACCCCCTGCCCCCCCCCCCCCACAGTAGATCCGCCCCTGACATGTACATACATACCTGAGATAAGAAATGGCTTCAACAAATCAACTTCAATGAACTCTGTATTGTCTGGGAATGCGGAGCACCAGCCTCCCTTCGATCCTTTGATGGTTTTGTTTATTCTCGCATGAAACGGCTGCTGAGTTTCATCTGCTGAGGACGACGCGAACAACTGGCTATTCTTGATGCTACCATCTGATATCCCTAGAGCACCCTGACATTGATCTGAAGATTGACATAAAACCAGATTATTCACGTCTTTGAGTATGGCGTATAATAAAAAATAAACCACCATTTTGGTGGGCAAAAGTCTTTTATTCAACTGACACAGCTGTGGATCATTATAACGAATGGCGTACCACGTCCGACGATTTGGTCCCGCTATGCAAATCTCAACTCATTATCTTTATTCATTTCTTTAGAAATCGATTGTGTTAATAGTTTATTGAAACATGGCAATATTTGCATAGCGGAATTGAATGGTGGAGCTCGCTAGGCCACTGGTTATAACTCTTCAAAGTTCTCAAAGAAAAGCGACAGTCAGTATCACAGTCTTACTTTGATGCAATGCTTGCTTTCAGTTAACTATTTTTAATATGCCATCAAAAATGGCGGAAATCGACAAATACGTGTTGTGACGTCACTCACGACGCTGTCAAAATGTATTTTCAAAAACGTCGCTATATCTACACCATCACCGAGCATTATGAAAATCTTGTTTTAGCTTCGAAGTTGATTTGCTCTCACCTGAGTCAGTTTCGTTGTCCGAGAAAGTCAATGATGGTATCAGATCTCGTTGAAGTTTCCCGTCGCCTTCGTTACTAGCCAGCCAGCGGTAGCATGGGAACTCATACGTCACCGCTTCTTCTGTCTTTACAGTAATCTGTGGGAATGAAATATTTAACAATTATTGAATAGGGTTGGATATGAGTTGAAGAATCATCAAGCCCGAGGTTTGTGTTATCAACGAAGACGAAGGATGGTTTTTTATAATCAAAACGAGTTCTTTTCCTTTTTCTTCTATACAAGTAAGTGTACGTTAAGATGTTTTAAAACCTTTCGTGACTGAGTTTGATATGACGAGAAACCATGCACGAATCTTTGTTTCTCCCTCATTGGTTAGCAGATTTCCCAACAGCCTATTAGAGACCTTACGATTTTAGGACGGCAACGAGACGGCGACGGCCAAAACAAACTCCTTCAAATAAATGGTAGTAAAGATAGTTCGTCGTATATTATCAATGGTGTGAATTTAATACAGTTTTAGAAGTTGAAGACATGGCCGTTTTATGGTTGGGAAGAGTTCTGCTAAACCCAGTTTGAAGTTGCAGTTGTTGTGGCTTGGAATGCAGCCGTTGTATCAAGACGTGAAAATCTGTGATTTAGCGTTGTAAACAGAGCGAGCACAATGTCTAAATTATTCATATATTTACAATTACTCAATTATTTTCAATGATCCATTGTATTGGTAGCCGTTGTCGTCGCGTTGCCGTCCTAAAATCGTAAGGTCTCTATTTCCCGATTGAGACGGGGTCTGAGGTACCTACGATTGAACGTCCTTATCCGATAAAGTCTAACCATTCACTAATGTCAATATAAAGGTAGCTCTTTCTCCTCTGGTCCTCAATTATCTTAAAGTATTTCAGCTTGAAAGGCAAGCGTGGTAAAGAGTAAGATTTTTCTGTTTACCCTACAAAAATAACTCCATTTGGGGCTAACGTAATATTGCTGGTTATTTTACCCTGTAATTTACCAAAAATATATTTCAATTTGTAAAGAGAACAGAAATAAATCCTCTACCTTATCAAGAAACCAGCCAGCTCCAAGCCAAGTATTGTCATGACCAACCACAATTTTATTTAATCGTCCCAGATCGGCGGAATGGACAGCAAAAACATCTTTCCTGGAAACAAACGAAGCACGTGCTTTCATAGATGTATGGGGGGCAAAAAGTGACGAGTTAAAAATTAGGGGTCAAAAGGTAGTTACATCTTCAACCGGAGTTAAATATTACAAATACTTACTGCCCTCTTTCAAAATCATTTGCCCCTTTATGTTCCAAAATTTTCTTTCCAGAGTTGCCATTATCGCCAAATAAGATCACAAAAACATTCGAGTCCGTGCCTGCACCGAATTTGTCTCCTGTGAACGTCGTGATATCATACTTGTATCCTGTGAGGAAAATAAAAGAATTACAGAAGATTCCGTCTCTCAGCTAAGACGTTTTCTCTAATAGTTCATAGTTGGTATTTCGGGCAGAAAACAACGTGTTTCAAAATTATTTGGGTGTTGAATGGACCATTCCCCAATTAACCAAAATTTTGATCTCAACAAGTCTAGACAAAATTCAGTCCATCATAGCATGAAAGAGCATCGCAAAATTAGTAATATTCCAAAGTTTCGTTGCGAAATGTTGTAAAATGCGGATAATATAGCCTTGCGAAATTTGTAATTTTCAGTCGTTTTAGATTACAAACAGGAAATGGTTACCACTTTTCCAAAATTTTGATCTTAACAAGCCTAAACAAAAATTTCATCACAGCTTGAAAGAGCATCACAAAATTAGTAATATTCCAAAGTTTCGTTGCAAAATATTGTAAAATGTGGATAATATAGCCTTGCATATAGTTGCCGTTTTTCACTCATTTTGTATTAAGCACTGGGAATTGATGCTTTCTGAAAAAAGGTATCAATTTCCCGTGCGTAATACAAAATGACTGAAAAACGGAAAACTTCGCATGGCTATATTATCTGCATTTTACAACATTTCGCAACGAAACGTCGGAATATTACTAATTTCATTTGTGATGCTCCTTCAAGCCGTAATGAAATTTTTGTCTAGATCAAAATTTTGTTCATTAGGGACAGGTCCATTAAATTTTGGTATATACGTTACCATTAGAAAGTTGCAGCATTAACCAAAGCAGCAGAAATGAGCATATCTGGATCATGTCGATGGCTTTCGTACCTATAAAATATAAGTTTTGCATATTTTGATTATTGTTACGAAGTTTGAGGTGTACTTGGCGTGCGAGCACATCTTGTTCACAACCTGTGAGAGTTTTACAGCATTCAACTTCAGATTTTTGCAGCATTGAACTTCTGAAGACCGCAAACGGCAACTTCAAATTGCATTTGAAGACAGGTTCAACAAGTTCTCAATCGCTAAGTATAGCTAATAGCGAACTTAAGCAAAGCTTAATCTACGTGTCAAGAAACCGCCATAAAATTTACACTTTTATAATTATAAAGAACTACTGTTATTAAGAACTTCAACACAGCAGAACAAAAGTGCAACGAGAACGGCCAACAACATCATATTAATGCAAGAAAACGAGCGGAAATTAATAATTGAAATTTCACGGACGTTTTAGACGTCGCCGTAGCTGTGTTTTACAACGGCGAAATACAGAATATGCACGTCTTGTATACAACACTTATACTTCAAGCTGGGACAACTGCTATTTTAAATTGGGTACTGAACTTTTCTCAATCATAAAACCTTAAACTGTATTATTTTCATATGATGGATAATAGACGACAAGCTTTCTTCCGCAATCATTTGGTTCAGCGAGTTTGTTTGTACATGCTTAAGGTCGCTAGTATAGCTAATTCCCAAAACTTTTGTCTAAAACTGTCGCATGCAACTTGACTTGTATACTGTGTAAACCAAGATACCATAAAAATTTTAAAGTTTGTATATTGCAAATATAAAGCTACGTTTACACGCAACGTTTAATCGGACCGGTTTTGCCGAACATTAATGACGACTGTTGTCAGATAACGTTGACAGCGTATTTTTCAAATATCATTTAATTAAAGCTAAATGGCCCGATTACTCATTGTTACAGGGACATTTCAAGCTCCAGATTAACAAAATAAAGTTTTGATGAGTGTTCCAACTATGTTTTAACTTAAATAGAATACATGATATATAGTGTTGGGAAAGCATTAAGAACAACTAACCAAGGCAACCTCGCAAGCCGTAGTCTTTGGTCCAGTGTCTTTCGGAGCAGGCGGGCTGAAATTACACTGGCTTGCGAGGTTGATACCAAGTTCGCGTGACCGCCAACTCTCCGACGTGCACTCTTAAACTCGTTTCATCTGCGTTTCAAGATCCAGACACACCGGACGCAATTCGACAACGCGACGCGATTTTTCGATTTTCACTGACCGATAACTTTGATTCTAGTTTAAATTTTCCAAATATTTAGAAGCGTTATAACATTTTGAGTTATTTGGTCTACATATCTTTCAAAATTTGCTCTCATTGGCTGTTTTATCAACTTTCAAAAACTAAAAAATCGCGTCGCGTTGTCGAATCGCGTATGGTGTGTTTGGAAAGGCCCATACAGATCGGACGCGATTTGGCAAAGCGAATTTTCAGTTTTCAATGACATTTAACTTTAATATTTTTCAATGTTTTTCAAATATTCGGAACCAATTGTAGCCAATTTGGTCTGCATATCTTGTGAAATTTTTATCCGTTGACGGTTTTATTTGTTTTTGAAAACTGAAAATTCGCGTCGCGTTGCCGAATCGCGTCTGATCTGTGTGGGCCTTAATTTAAGGCAGATTTCCATAGTTGCGTTTTTCGTCCGCACGTAAAACTTTGAATCCTTCTATTTTTTTAAATATTTTACAAATAAGTTAACAAATGCATACTAAAATTTGCGGAACACTAAATTCTGTTGCTTTATTTATTTGGTTATTTCATAAGAACATTTAAATGGATTTAAAGTTTTACGTTCGTTTACGTAGGTATGAAAAACGCAACAGTGGAAATCAGCCTTTACGCTTGTCTGACGCTTCGACTTGTCACGGAATTACATTCAAAAGCCCGTTCAAACGAAGCCAAAATGTTGGTCCAGCATCTTCCAATATTGCATGTTGGCGTTGTTTCAACAAGCCTGCTTAAACTATCAAGGTTTCTGTGATAACAGATGCATAGGTATAAATTCCAAGTTTTGAAGGATTTGTAAGAAATGTTTGAGGGACTGATTCAGTGCTAAACGCCGAGTCATTCCCTCAAACAAATGCTACAAAATTTACGATTTACCGATGCAAAAGTACTCCTATAATCATAGAAAGATAGTGAAAAAAGCATTTAAAAGATGTTGGATCGTGATCGGATTTGATTTATTTAACCAACGGAAATGTTCAACATCTTTCAATGGCTCATTGGATTTACTTAAACGGCGCTTAAAATCTTCACATAAACTATATAAACGTAAACAGCTTATTATAAAGACTATACCTTCGATTTCCTCGAGTCATCGCTTGAAAACACTTTATTTAACTTGAGCATTTGTCTTCACTGAAGCGAATCCGTACATGAACGTGCGATCGTCTGTTGTAAGCTTTCCATTGATCAACTTTGCAGTTAAAATTTGTGAAGTTAGAAGCCGTCTATATTAATAAAATTTCGAAAAGGCTCTATGACCTGCAAAGGTTATAAATACCAGTCACTCAAAGTAAAAGTCTTTTGTGTTCGCCATTGTGGAGTTAAATTACCTTCATTGTTTAAAATCGTGAATAATTAACGAGACTACAAAATATTACAACTACACGCGTAAAAATCTTTCTCGGCGTCTCGGGCAAAAGATATGTTCGTATTTCTTGTTCCGAGTTGTTGCCAAGTCTGGAACAAGTTGTTATCATCTTGTAACAAGGTTGATGAGGCCAACAGACTCGCAACAAGTTGTTCCAACAAGTCTGATATCGTCTGCACGTAACAAGTTGATGACAACAAGCTCGTAGCAAGTTGTTACGAACAGCCTGTATTAGTCTTGTTGAAACAACTTGTAGCAAGTCTGCTACCGTCATCAACCTTGTAACAAGATGATAACAACTTGTTCCAGACTTCTCACAACAACTGGGAACAATAATATTGGCTTCACAATAACTTTGTTAAAACTTGTTTGCAGATCCGGAACAACTTAATCTATACTAGATAGCAGCGCTATTAGTTCAAAATTGTTCTACAGAGTTTAGTCTAGGACTATAGGGCAAATATCGAGATTTTTGGGCATTGCGCTCGATAGAACTTACAGTTGCACGGTTTTTGTAAGTGGATTTTAAACATGCTTGTAGCAAGCTTGTCAACAAGTTGTAACAATGCTGTTATTGTATCAAATTGCTACAGGGTTGTCACTCAGGACTTGTTGACAAATTGTTGAATTTCAGGACGATAACAAGTTGTTGGAACAACTTGTAACAAGTCTGTTGAGCTCAACAACCTTGTAGCAAGTTGTCAACAAGCTGGGAACAAGCAGTGCGAACACATCCTGTTGACAAGTTGTTGGAACAGCATTGCTACAAGTCTGCTGCAGGTTTATTACTGACAACTTGTGTGTTTCTATACGTATATTGTGGTAACCACCCTGGCTGGGCCTGTATACGGAGTCTGGTTATTTCAAACAAGATCTATGTCCTCGACCAAGAGACGAGGATGTCTTGGGGTGGAAAAAATAGGCAAGCACTGCTCACAGGAAATGTTAAGAGGAGATTTTCTTGTATATTACGTAACAAGCGCTCAAAACTAATGTGTATAATATACCACTTGAGGTTATGACTAAATTCAAAATTTTTGTTTTTCAATATGTTTCTCAATCGGCAAACAAACTGAAAAAGTATTTTAGTGCTTTATCTGTAAAATAAAGAGAAAATGATGTCTGAAGTTCAGTAAGTAATTTTGCTTATATGGCTGTAAATATGGCGTCAATTTTAAAGCAACATTGATAATTGTATTTTAATTGACAATTTTTTACTATTACTTTATGTTTCTCAACTGGCAGATGCACTTAAAAAGGTTGCTAACTCTATAAACTGTAGATAATAAAGCAAAAACAAAGTGATTCTGAGAGGATCGCCCAAAAAGATTTTAGGTTTTGAACACTTTTCATTGCAAATATCTGACATTGAAAAAAATTGCCTCTTAACCCATTGAGTCGCATTGCACCCTGATGCACCCTACTTTAGTATTTTACTCTGTCTAACGCCAGACGATTTTACTCGTCAAGGGGAGAGCGCTGGCGCTTAATGGGTTAAACAGCTGCAGGAAATTTGTTTGAATGAAGATTTGCTATTGAAAATTTGAAGGAAACCTTAACAGCCATGTCCCATTACGGGCGCACAACAACATATGGTTGACAGACATTATATATCATTGAATTTAAAACCATCGTCAGAACAAAAATACTCCCTGTTGGTCTACAGGAAATTTTTGTCTCCAGGTTGTGCTCCCAGGAAGAAATTCTGTTTCCCTGCCCTGATAAGTGAATAAATAAGCAAAGGCTCTCGTTGGTCTAATGGACCTAATTCCCTAATGAACAAAATCTTGATCTAGACAAGTCTAGACAAAAATTTCATCACAGCTTGTAAGAGCATCACAAAATTAGTAATATTCTGAAGTTTCGTTGGGAAATGTTGTAAAATGCGGATAATACAGTATAGCCCTGCGAAGTTTGCCGTTTTTCAGTCATTTTGTATTATGCACGGGAAATTGATACCTTTTCAGAAAGCTGTATCAATTTCTCGTGCGTATAATAGAAAATGACTGAAAAACGGCAAACTTCGCAGGGCTATATTATCCGCATTTTACAACATTTCGCAACGAAACTTCGGAATATTACTAATTTTGTGATACTCTTTCAAGCTGTAATGAAATTTTTGTCTAGATCAAATTACGTAGTGTTGTGATGATGTAAAATCACATTGCTTACCAGATCATGGCCTGTACGTGCCTTGCCTTTTAACCCATTAAGTTTCATTTTACCCTAATACAGTACACCTTACTTTATTATTTTACTCTGTCTAATGCCAGACAATTTTACTTGTCAAGGGGAGGGCGCTTGCGTTCAAAGGGTCAGCCAGACTATCACTAGCCCACATTAAGCTGCATTGAACCCTACTTTATTGTTTTCTCTGTTAATGCCAGGTGATTTTACTCATCAAGGGGAGAGCATTGGCACTCAGAGCATTCATATTCAATTCACGAGGAAATTGAGTAACCGTATTGCTTTATTTTTCTTCATGCATCAAACAAGTCAAATGAATTCAATCCTAAGATTGGATGTTCAAAGATTAACGTTGGATGACATTGACAAAGGATTTTGCTTGTTTGCAATGCAAATATCATCCAACATGGTAAAAATCTCTTTGTCCTTTGAAGAGACATCACCTACATATTGCCAGAGTGAAATTTTACATCGAAATAGACAAGATTTATAAAGACAGATTTAAACTACAGAACTTTTGCCTAAAACTATCGCATACAACCTGTTTATAAATTGAATTGTACTGTGTGATTTAAGGATTTGAAGCCCACATCTCATATATCAAAGATGAGATGTATTTTACGACAACTTAGGCTAGTTCTATGCTTGGTTTTAGGAAAAAGTTGTATTAATATTAGCTTTACCTGTGAGTTGATCAAAACAGCCAACCAGCTGGATCGCCTGGACGGAATTGCACGCTTTCTCGAACCATACACATCTTGCTGCCATGAAATAGCACAATAGGAAAGCAAGAGAGTTCATATGCATTATAATACCACATTATTTTACAAAAAAACTTTCGCCAAATTTCAAAAAGTTCCTTTCCAACGACAATATAAACATGAGGACAATTCCACTTACTAGTAAAAAACCATCGTTCAAAAGTTGACGTTTTGCAGAAGGGTTAGGTTAGTGCTAGGGTAGGGGTAGAGTTGGTGTTTGGAGTAGGGTTAGTGTTAGTAAAACCGTTGCTTTGTTACGTTTTGTCACTCTGAGGCCAGCGAAATAACCTCTTCCATTGTCTATGGGAGCTTTCAATGGCCTGACCGGTCACGGAGCCAAATTGTTTTTCTCTGTTTCTCAAATATCTAGCGAAAATGGACCTCATTTTAATGTTATCTAAATTTTCCGGTCAGATCAGGCATTAAAATAGCGTGTCCTTGTACACACTTTGTGTCCTTGTAAAAGGCGAATGTGCCCTTGTAAATTGGAAAGTGTGTACTTGAAAATATATTAAACTGAATTACTGAAAATATATTAATGTAATACATGCAAAATGGCCAAAGATTTTGCAAATTCTGTTCTCAGAACTCTGGAAATGCCATTTCAGAGACCCACTTAAAAGCTCACGTCTTCGACGTTAAACTTGTGAGTTGTGGCTTCGCCACTCGTTCTCGTGAGTCTGCGCATTTTTACAAAAAATACGCCTCTGAAGGCAAAGTGTGTCCTTGTAAAAATTCCGTATTTTAATGCCTGGGTCAGATCTAAATTTTGGCTTCCATTCAACAATTTGACCGTTCTGGCCGTGTTAATGGAAAGCGCCCTACGATACAACAGAGTTGGATTAGAGACCTTACGATTTTAGGACGGCAACGGCTACCAATACCATTGATCATGGAAAAGAATTGAAAAATTACAATATATGAATAATTTAGACATTGTCTCGCTCTGTTTACAACGCCAATTCACAGATTTTCACGTCTTGATACAACGGCTGCATTCCAAGCCACAACAAGTGCAACTTCAAACTGGGTTTAGCAGAACTCTTCCCAACTACAAAACCCATGTCTTCAACTTCTAAGACTGTATTAAATTCACACGATTGATAATATACCACGAATTACCTTTACTACCATTTATTTGAAGGAGTTTGTTTTGGCCGTCGCCGTCGCATTGCCGTCCTAAAATCGTAAGGTCTTTATCAGCTCGGGGCCCCTTGACCCCCACCCCCAACGAAATTTTAAACACTGAATTCAGAAAGATTCAAAAATCCTTTTGTATTTCGTGAATTAAAAAGTTGCGTGGATGTACTTTTAATATTACCGGTATTACCATTGAACTTGTAGTTAGATGGTAACGCCTTTGAATATTGGATGGTTATGCCTTTGAATGTCATCCGCATAACCATTCATGCTTGAATTGGATGGTTATGCCGTTGACTGTCTTCGGCATAACCATTCAACTTGGATGGTTATACCGTTGAACAGTTTACTTCATTGCTGTAACGAGAATACTGCTTTTGAAGACTTTGTATCCATTTGCGACGACATCATTAATTAACTGATCTTAGAAATTATTATTTTACAATTTTACGAGTTCTGTTTTGTCAAAAAAATACTTGGTGGATTGTTGGTCATTACACTTTTAAATATCCTTTGTGTAAATATCTGGGTGTTGTGTACATAGATAATCCACTTTAAGATATTTGTAAACATTGGGACACAGGATAGTGTCCTTTCGCAACAGCAAGCCATCTTTTACCGCGATGCTGCATCCATTTTCACCATTGCAGAGATTTTGAACCTTTTCAAGAATGAGATCTTCCTGGCCTCGACAATATGCTTCATAAGGCAAGACTGGGTGTTTGCATATCTTCGTATCATCTCGTCCGTAGAACGAATTTGTAATAACTAGTTTATTCGATCTGTTTTTGCACTTTATCGCAAGCTGTTTGCTCTCACAGCCATACACGCTTTGCTGTTGAGAAAAACGAAGATTTTACGATATTTCATTACAACGTCGACACGTAAAAATCTCACAACTTGTCAAAAAGATGTGTTCGCAACAGGCTTGTAGCCAATGTAGCAAGCTTGTCAACAAGTTGTAACAATGCTGGTATTTTATCAAGTTGCTACAAGGTTGTCACTCACCAGTGGCGGAAATTCACTTTTTCCGGTGGGGGGACAAAGCCTCCTAAATTTCCGACAAGACTTTCAAATTTCCGACGTACCCCCCATTTGCACTCGAAAAGACTGTTTTTAGCCCTCTTTTAGGTCAAAATTTCCGAAAATTCGTCAATTTTCCGTGAAGGTGACCCCCCCCCGCCCCACCAAGATTTCCGCCACTGTCACTCACAACCTGTTGACAAATTGGTGAATTACAGGACGATAACAAGTTGTTGGAACAATTTGTAACAAGTCTCAACCTTGTAGCAAGTTGTCAACAAGCTGGGAACAAGCAGTGCGAACACATCCTGTTGACAAGTTGTTGGAACACCATTGCTACGAGTCTGCTGCAAAGTTTGTTACAACTTGTGTACATGTGTAGTCGAGCTACTCACTATTTCTTCTTTTGTCGGATCTGGGATTCCCGATCTTCGCGCGTTCATTTGCATGCCATAGTTCTGGTTAGGTTGAGGCATGTTCTCCCAATGTGGTTCGGATCTCGGCGAGTTATAACAGCAGCTACGTGTACAGGATGGCGAGCAGATAGGATTGCACAAACCCGGGCAGTACATCTCCATTTCTGGTGGGCCAGGGGCAGCAACAGGATTTAAAAACCCAGCAAGATCTGCAAGAGGATGAAGAAGCTTGGTTTAAACTGTCAAAGTTTCTGTGATCACAGTAGGAATTTTGCATAGGTAAATTTTAAATTTTGAAGGATTCGTAAGAAATGTTTGAGGAATTGACTTAAAGAGCCTATATCATGGTTTTGGAGTTTGCATATTTCGAAAGTGTAGGGTATTTTAAGACACTTTGCAATATATTTTGTTATTGAAAATTTTCATCTTGATGGATTTATTAGCTCTTAAAGTTACCGGACATGACATGCAATGATACGAAAGAAAACTGATTTGCAATTCTCCTTTGACGTCATGTTCGGTAACTTTAAGAGCTAATAAATCCATCAAGATGAAATTTTTCAAAAACAAAATATATTGCAAAGTGTCTTAAAATACCCTAAACTTTCGAGATATATATGCAAACTTCAAGACCATGATTTAGGCACTTTAATGACTGAGTCAGTTCTTCCAAATCCTTCAAAACGTAGAATTTACTGAATGCAAAATTCTTGTGATCACAGAAACTTTGATACTCTAAACCAGGATTCATGCTCCGTTAGAAAAAAACTGGAATTAGCTGGTAAAAAGTGGCATAAATACTGTTTACGATCTTCAGAACTATTGGACATGGAAGGAAGTTATCAGTTCGCCGACCTCAGAATGACATTTCGTCAAAACGTTTTTCTTCAAGATTGGTTTAGAAAAAAACTTAGAGAATCAAACTTAGGTTAGGGTTATAGGATAAGAGTTAGTGTTAGTGTTTGGAATAGGGTTAGTGTTAGTAAAACTGTTGCTTTGTTACGTTTTGTCACTCTGAGGCCAGCGAAATAACCTCTTCCATTGGCCATTGGGACGTCAATAGTCGCCATCATCCGAATGGGCGATTGCTAGATAGTATACTTCAAAATAAGGTTTCCGTTTTTATAACGTAGAAAAAACTATCCTAACTTAAAACTAAACCTTAACCCTAACTCCAACCCTAACTCTAACCCTAACCCTAACCTAACCCTAACTTATTTTTAAAATTGATATAAAAACGGAAACCTTATTTTGAAGTACACTATCTAGCAATTGCCCATCCGAATGACTGAAGTTTTCGCTCCAGACATATATGGAGCTCAGGGCCTTCCTAAGGCCCGAAGGGTTAGCACTATTTTCCATCCAGCAAACTGACCTGACGTCATTTTCGGAAGATAGAAGAGGTGTTAAATGGCTATTAGTGTAACAAACCCTACCCCTATTCTAACCCCTCACCGTAACTCTAACCTTAACCCTAACCCTAACCCTAACCCTAACCCTAGCCCTAACCCTAACCCTAACCGAATTAATGAAAAAATCCAAAAAATAACGACTTTAGAAATTCGATAGAGCGGTTTGCTAAATGGAAAAAAGTGCTAACAGGCCCGAAGCTGCAAAACCGGCGCGAGTTTGTCCTCTACAGCGGCAGAATAAATATATGAAACTAGTTTTTTTTATATCTCTGAGGATGGTTCGTTAATTTACCTCTTGGGTCATAAGCCAGCGCCAAACATATTCCTTGTACAAGTGCACAAATAACAATCGCGATTCCACGCGCCATTCCTATTTAAAAGTAAAAGAGAAACACGATTAAATAGAGCAAAAAGAGAAATGGTGTCCAGCTGGTTTTTTATATCAACGATATTACAATACAAAATGTTTTGAAATGTAGTGCTTTGAATTTGCCACAATATTTCTGGTAACAGTCCCCGGTAATCCGATAGGAACTTAGTTCCGGGCATGATAGGGGAATTTGCTCCGAGGTGAAACAGATTTCACAGGGGGACACAAATCACTCTGAGAATGGAATTTCCGGCTATAACGAAGATCCCTGAGCTAGGTAGATCTAGGAACATCACAAAACAGTTCTTTTGTATTGTGTTTTACTGCTTTAGAACACATTTGCTTATATACATAGTACCTGTTGGCTACCAGCGGGAGACTTTTTGTTAACACATTATTTACTGGTGTTAAAGGCGAAATACGAATAATTCTAACTGTATAACTTTAATTTCCTAACACAACTACATGTATATGAAATGTTGATTTGGAACATAAAAGTTTATGCAATAATATCTAATATCCCCGATTATTTAACCTCTATATTCAGGTATATATTAAACTTTTATGCGATTCAAATACTCTTCAAGACAAACGAAAATCTGTGACTTACTTCAAAGGAAACTTGTGAGATTCTTCTTTAATTTCAAAGCCCAGTCAAACCTGCCTTATTATTATTATAGTTAGTGGTTAAACATTATTTCCAAATATATTCGTGATCGATTTAAAGTTTATCAAATCAATTATTAAAAGCCTGAGGTACTCCAGCTCATAACGTCATGACACTGATCTCAAAATGGATAGAATATTCTTTGGGCAATTTTTAAACCGGAATATTTATAATGAGACGAGACTTAAAAGTTTGCCAGTATCTCCGCAAATGAGATACATCATGAAGCAGATGTCTTTTCCTATGTAACTTGAAAGAGATAGCTTCCCACATTTGTTCTAAGTGAGTTTTAGAGCGTTTTAAACACTAGATAACGAAACTTCTGGCATCGATTTTGGTTATGACCCCTTCTCTTCAGCTTTCACGGGAAAATTTAAGGCTGAAGAAAGACCACAGTTGATAAATTTCTATTCACACAATGCTTATTCTTTTCCACCGATAAACAGAAACTGTAAGAACCTTTTACATGCACTATGTTACAAACACCACAGTAAATTTGTGTTGGTCTCATCAAAATGGCCACCATTGTCTTCATTTCTGTACAGTGGATGCCAGTATATAACCAGTGAAATAAATATGGCTGGAACGTTACCCCCAGCCGTAAATTTGAGACCATTTGAAGCCAAACTTTGAAGGTGAGTCCCAACCTTTCTGCGCATGCGAAGAGCGCGGCTAATCTGTCAACATGCATGAATATTCATACTTGAAAACCGGCTTAATATTTGCAAGAAAGCTTTTTAACAGCGGTCAACGCTTTCTATCAATGCATTGATTAGTCAAAAGTTTCCAGTAGACTTTTATAACTTTACTTTTAGTTTTTTTTCTTACTTTTTTCTAACAATAGCGGCATGCTCGCTCGCTGTACTGATCTCGCGAGGGAATCGCAAAGTTAAACACGCGGGTCTTGTTCCCCAGAAATCTTGATCCTCAGAGATGGCTTCATGAAAAAGATAGGTAGTTTATCTGTAGCTAGCGCTCCAGTTATATTCATTTCAATGATAATGGGCACACAACACGAAACAACAAATACTGAGATTGCAATATGTTTACAATTTACATTTGGAAGTTCAAGTTGGTGCAGCAAGCGCTTGCACTACAATGACAGCCGAAATGCACACAAAAATTGAATAAATGTTTGGATTGCAATGTTTACAATTTACTATTGGAGACTAAAGTTCGAGCACTTGCTTAAACCTGATGCCAGATTAATTTGAATTTTAGCTAATATTAACTCACTCGCCGAAAACTTATATACCGATATTTCTTGGAATGATGCCGTAGAGTACAAAATCACAATTAAGATTAACATTGGCAATGAATTGCATATACTTAGCCTAGACTATTCTATCTTTACAACAATTGTGATATTACTTTCCTAACCGTGTTTATTCTAGCCCAACTCTGCATGTTGCGAGGAAACCGGAGCGCCCCGAAAAAATCCACGACTTTTGGCTGCCGAGCATTGACTGAAACTTTTCGTAGCGAGACTATATAGTTCATATAGTTAACAGTCAGAAATATAATAGCTTTCCTTTGCAATCATATATTGCTTTCTCTGCAAAGACTTGTAAACATTGCACTTGTTTCATGTGGGTTGATAACAAACAATTGGGCGCAGAAATTGTTTTAGGGCAACAGCAGGTGCCATGGTTTTAAATTATTCAAAACAAGCTGAAAATGTATTGATTTAGATTGGCAGATGGCAATGTGCTTGTAAAGGTTTCATTTTCCATATTCCATGGACGGATATAGTCGATATGGACTGCAAGTATAAACCATAAATTTTAATTTCACCAAACCCATTGATAATGGACGAAAAATCATTTTGTGATTTCTTGTTTAATGCATATATACATGACGCGCAGGTGCATTATTGCAAGACTTAAGCAATGGCAGAAAACGCGCATTCACAGATCGTCTCATTGCTTCAAAATTTGAGAATAACATCAGAAAAAATATTTGAGGACGAGGCCTTTCGGAACGAGATCACGCATGAACCAAATCAGGAAGGATTCGACGTAAGCAACGAAGATAACGCCGAGAGAATTTGGCAAGTGCTGGCCCGAGCAGTAAATAGTTCAGTACGTGCAGTCAAATATGTAAATCTTAGAGATGAAAATATTGAAACACGACTAAAGGAGATACGGCTTTTATCCGAAAAACAACGCCTGAGCAATTACCTTAGCAATCCATTTACGCATGCGCCACTGAAATCACCACAAGATGTCGCAGACATGACAATTATTGGAATTAAAAAGCAAGCGCCTATATGCTTTGTAACAAAACTCATCGAACAGCAATTTTCGATTCAGTGGGACACGGACAGTGTAAACGGGGTAAAGGAACCTGAGGATTTTAACTTCTATACGTTTTGCGATGTTCAGAAGCTAAAGAAAGCAAGAAATGGTAACGACGAACAGATGGGCGGCAAAACTAAACATCTAAAGTACGATCCGCGCAGGGCACACGTTATGGTGAAGTTGTACAGATATTGCAGAGCAAACACGATAATGGAGTACAGTGTAAAAGGATTATGTCCGTATGTCTATATCCGAACACGCAGAGGTTGGAATGAATGGAATCCTTTGGGTGGTACTAATACCTTCAAATCAGCAGAACATTCGCATTTTAGTTGGATGAATAACCATATTTATGATTACATATCTTCACATGCTATTAAAATAAAGGAGAATGGCATTGAGAAAGCTCTCAAGAAACACACGCTTTATTGGGCTGTTGTTCAAGACGGAGATTTTCTGCCCGGTACCCATTTGCAGCTAAACGTCATTGGCAAAACCCAAGTGTATGTGGGCAAGGCCAACAATGGTATCAACGGAAGATGGCTTGCAGACGCCAACAGTCATTGTAAAATGATGAAGATTTGTCTGGGAAATGTACAAGAAATGACCACGTATGAACCTTTACGAGTTCATGGCATTCAATTGGTTGACGCTAGGATTCTGTTGGCGAAACTGAGAGGGGAGCAGTGTGCTTTGTTTGTAATGAATACGTATAATAAAGATGCGGCAAGTGTCCTTGAAGAGGATGAGAAAGCTCACATTAAAGGCGAATTGCCAGGAAATGGGGACGAAAATGTAGAACTCTTGACACAATGTCCAGACTGGAAGCCTAAATACATGGCATATGGAATGAACGGCCGAAGTTAAGATTCAATTCGCCTTAGCAGTCTTGTCACGTCACTGTCAAACAATGAATACTTGACCCACATATATCCCACATTGCATTGCGTATACCTAATGTTTTGAGATGGATTGAAAATGGCGTGACGTAGGCACTTCGAGAGTCAACTAGGAAATAGTTAAACCGAACAATCTGATTATATGGCAAGGCGGTGGTATTAAGTATAATAAAAACTTTAGTTAAAAACGCTATCTATGTCAACATAAGCTGCTTTCCACAAGTGGCGTGCAAAAAATTAAAAAAACTAGTAGTAAAGCTATTTACAGGAATTTAGAAAAGAACTAAGTTACATAAGATTATTCCGTTGTGTGTTCAGTTCCGTTGTCTGTTTAGGGGTAAAGTCTCAATTGGGACGAGAGTCCTGTTCCTCTCCCCTCTCATGAATTGTCTAATCTGTTTTTATTTGTCTGTATATATATATATATATATATATATATATATATATATATATATATATATATATATATATATATATATATATATATATATATATATATATATGGCATCTTTATTTTTCTAAGCATCTTTATTTTTTTATTTAGTGGAATACGTTGAGTCGTTGCCATTATTTAATTACGCTCTGAATATCCATTGAGCACTCTGCCAAATGTTTTTATATTAAAACAACGAAACGTATACCTGCCGTGGCTAAAAACTACAGTGAAATCTCACTACTCTCACAGACTGCCGTGGCTACAAAGTATACTGAAATCTGATATACCTTTTAGCCACAGACCATAGTGACTAAAAAGTATAGTGAAATCTGATATGGTTTTTAGCCACAGATCAGCCCTGGCTAAAAAATATACTGAAATCTGGCATACATTTTAGCCACAGACCGCCGTGGCTAAAAAGTTTACTGAAATCTGGTAAACGTTTTAGCCACAGACTGCCGTGGCTAAAGAGTATAGTGAAATCTGATATGCTTTTTAGCCACAGAACAGCCGTGGCTAAAAAGTATACTGAAATCTGGTGTATTTTTAGCCACAGACTGCGTGGCTACAAAGTATACTGAAATCTGGTGTATTTTTAGCCACAGACTGCCGTGGCTAAAAAGTATACTGAAATCTGGTGTATTTTTAGCCACAGACTGCCGTGGCTAAAAAGTATACTGAAATCTGGTGTATTTTTAGCCACAGACTGCCGTGGCTAAAAAGTATACTGAAATCTGGAGGACCTGCAATGGAGGTATATGGTCGTGATTATGAGACACCAAAATACGGGATTCTCATAAGCACGCTAAAAATGCAAATACAGATTTGCTTATGAAGACCACATAAGTTTCGGTATGGCATGACGGAAAAATTTATCTCCCCCCCCCCCCTCCAACATTTCTTGGAAAATTTTTTTTGGTGCCCTTTTCAAAATCCAAAAGTGCCCCTGGAAGTAGGGTCCCCCACAATATTTTGACACTTATACTACGCCTCTGAGTATACTTTTTAGCCACAGACCGCCGTGGCTAAATAGTATAGTGGAATATGATATGCTTTTTAGCCGCAGAACTGCCGTGACTAAAATCTATAGTGAAATCTGGCATATTTGTTAGCCACAGACTGCCGTGCCTAAAAGTATACAGAAATCTGGTATACCTCTTAGCCACAGACCGCCGTGGCTAAAAAGTATAGTGGAATCTGATATGCTTTTTAGCCGCAGAACTGCCGTGAATAAAAGCTATAGTGAAATCTGGCATATTTGTTAGCCACAGACTGCCGTGCCTAAAAGTATACAGAAATCTGGTATACCTCTTAGCCACAGACCTCAGTGGCTAAAAAGTATACTGAAATCTGGTATACTTTTTAGCCACAGACCGCGTTTTGGTATCTCATGCATGAACACGCTCATATATGCTTGTTTAACGTCTTTCTCGCCATTACGAACTGTCTTGTTATACAAGAATGAGAAATCGACAGAAAACCTATTGACCGTAGATTCCAAAAATGCAATTTTTAGACTGGCGCAAATTCAAGTATTTGCTACAGAGGCCTTGAAATTCAATAGAACATAAGATTCGAAAGAGCATAATATTAACTTTCACGTCTTTATCGACTAAACATCTGGCAAAACGTGCTTTTTGTCTCCACGTACGCCCTGGTGATGCGAGAATAAAGTATTGACAGAAGCCTATAATCCTGACGTTGAGGACAAGGTTCCTGACGCTGAAGACAAGGTTCCTGACGTTGAGGACAAGGTTCCTGACGTTGAGGACAAGGTTCCTGACGCTGAGAACAACTGTTCCTGATGTTGAGGACAAGGTTCCTGATGATGAGGACAAGGTTCCTGACGTTGAGGACAAGGTACCTGACGCTGGGGACATGGTTCCTGACCAGGCCCGGGTTCACGTCGAGCGAGGCCCGTGCCAGATTTTCAGAGCGAGCCCCCCCCCCCCCTCGTTATGAAAACCTTTGTATTCAAAGACACACAAAATTGAGCAAAACCCTTCCCCACCAGGATTTATGAACAAAAGCTGTTATCAACGAACAGTGTTACACTTAATACAACGCCTTCTATCAATATCTCAATTGATTGGCATCAATTCTAAACGAGACAATGGCCTGCCTGGTCCAGACGTTGGGTCAACAAGAGTAAACGTCAGGATCACATAACAGCTCAGCGCAAATCTTTGCTACAAGGGCCTTGAAATTTGATAGACCATAAGGTTCGAAACAACATAATATTAACTTTCACGTCTTTTTCGATTACACAGCAGGAAAAACCTGCTTTTTGGGTCTACGGATGTCTAGTGATACACGAATAAGGCATGTAAATTGCTAGATAGTATACTTCAAAATAAGGTTTCCGTTCTTATATCAATTTTTAAAATAAGTTAGGGTTAGGTTAGGATTGGGGTTAGGTTAGAGTTAGGGTTAGGGTTAGGGATAAGGTTAGTATTAGAGTTAGGGTTTAGTTTTGGGTTAGGATGGTTTTTTGTAAGTTATCAAAACAGAAACAATATGTTTAAGTACACTATCTTGCAATTTCCCAATTTTTAGACAGTGGTAAATTCAATTTTCTGTTACAGGAGCCTTCAAACTCAATAGAAGTTAAGGTTCGAAACAGCATAATATTAACTTTCACGTCTTTTTCGATTACACAGCTGGAAAAACCTGCTATTTATCTTCACGGACGGCCTAGTGATGCAAGAACAAGGCATTGACAGAAAGCTTATGGACCGCAAATTCCAGCGATACAATTTTTAGGCTGGTCCAAATTCAAATCTCTGCTACAAGGGCCTTGCAATTTGATAGAACATAAAGTTCGAAACAGCATAATATTACCTTTCACGTCTTTTTCAATTACACAGCTGGAAAAACCTGCTTTTTATCTTCACTGACGGCCTAGTGATGAAACTGACAAGGCATTGACAGAAAGCTTATGGATTGTAGATTCCAGAGATACAATTTTCCGGCTGGCCCAAATTCGAATTTCTGCTACAAGGGCCTTGAAATTTGATAGAACATAAGGTTCGAAACAGCATAATTAATCCTTTCACGTCTTTTTCGATTACACAGCTGGAAAAACCTGCTTTTTAGGTCAACGGACAGATAGTATACTTCAAAATACGGTTTCCGTTTTTATATCAATTTTTAAAATAAGTTATGGTTAGGTTAAGACTGGGATTAGGTTAGAGTTAGGGATAAGGTTAGTATAAGGGTTAGGGTTTAGTTTTGGGTTAGGATGGTTTTTTGTAAGTTATCAAAACGGAAACCATATGTTTAAGTACACTATCTTGCGATTTCCCAATTTTTAGACAGTGGTAAATTCAAGTTTCTGTTCCAGGAGCCTTCAAATTCAATAGAAGATAAGGTTCGAAACAGCATAATATTAACTTTCACGTCTTTTTCGATTACACAGCTGGAAAAACCTGCTTTTATCTTCACGGACGGCCTAGTGAAGAAAGAACAAGGCATTGACAGAAAGCTTATGGACCGCAAATTCCAGCGATACAATTTTTAGGCTGGCCCAAATTCAAATCTCTGCTACAAGGGCCTTGTAATTTGATAGAACATAAGGTTCGAAACAGCATAATATTAACTTTCACGTCTTTTTCAATGACACAGTTGGAAAAACCTGCTATTTATCTTCACTGACGGCCTAGTGATGAAACTGACAAGGCATTGACAGAAAGCTTATGGATTGTAGATTCCAGAGATACAATTTCCGGCTGGCCCAAATTCGAATTTCTGCTACAAGGGCCTTGAAATTTGATAGAACATAAGGTTCGAAACAGCATAATTAATCCTTTCACGTCTTTTTCGATTACACAGCTGGAAAAACCTGCTTTTTAGGTCGACGGACAGATAGTATACTTCAAAATACGGTTTCCGTTTTTATATCAATTTTTAAAATAAGTTATGGTTAGGGATAAGGTTAGTATTAGGGTTAGGGTTTAGATTTGCGTTAGGATGGTTTTTTGTACGTTATCAAAACGGAAACCTTATTTTGAAGTACACTATCTAGCGATTTCCCAATTTCCATCCCTTATTCGCTCATCACTATAGACGTCCGTAGACCTTAAAAGCAGGTTTTTCCAGCTGTGTAATCGAAAAAGACGTGAAAGGTAATATTATGCTGTAAGGTTTCCGTTTTGATAACGCACAAAAAACCATCCGAACGCAAAACTAAACCCCGACCCTAATACTAACCTTATCCTTTACCCTAACCCTAAGCCTAACCCTAATACTAACCTTATCCCTAACCCTAACCTAACCTAACCCCAATCCTAACCTAACCCTAACCTAACCTAACCTCGTGCAATCCTAACCTAACCGGCCCTAACTAATTTTAAAAAATGATATAAAAACGGAAACTTTTTTAAGTATACTATATCTGGCAATTTACATGCCTTATTCGTGCATGACTAGATGTCGGTAGACCTGTAAAGCAGGTTTTCCAGCTGTGTAATTGAAAAAGACGTGAAAGGTAATATTATGCAAATAATTAAATTGAAATTATCAAATTTCAAGGC